ACCTAGAGGGCCATATGTAGCTTTGGGGCTGCAGGTTCCCCACCCCTGGATACAATGATTTTTAGAATCATAGAGCTGCATATGTAAGGGATCTCTGAGATCATCTAGTTAATACCACTTCATTTTATAAATGAAGAAAAGGGGTTCGTGACTTGTCTCAGTTCACAGAGGTAGCAAGTGTGAAATTTGAATGCAGATCTTCTGACTTCAGAACCAGTCCTCTTTATGCTTTACCAATAAAGAAGGTACTGAAATCTGGCTTGAGTTATGGCAGACTGTTCAAAAGAAGGCCAGTGTTTTGGAGTATGATGGCAAAGAAGGGTTTCTTTCTTTTTTTCTGGACATTTTTATATATTGTAGTTCTTTGGGGAAAAATAGTTTAAATACTACAAATATTTTTGTTACTAGATCTACATTTCCTTGAGGAAATCCAGTGGTTCTTGGTTTATTCATTCTTTCACCCATCTAACCACTGTACATCTGAAAGTCATCATAGATTTGTCACTAAAATGTTTCTGACATTTAAAAAATCTTGGTTTCTCTTAGTTACTGACTTGGCAGAACTATCAAACAGTCTTCACAAGAAAAGAGGAAAGCTTAATAAGAGAACAAAAATTCTCTTATTCTTTTCTTTCCATGACCTTTCAGTTTGGCTGCATTTAAGCACTTTCCCTGGCTTCTGGTACATCAGAATTGGGAACAGTTGTCTACTTGGTTCCCCAAATTTCCTTAGCATCAATATTACACGATAGATCTTTAGAAACTGAATGTTTCATCCCATGATTATGTATTAACCTTTGTCCACGATCAGACATATTCTTATTTGTATGTAGTTATAGGAAATATCAATTAAAATGATCATAAATATGCCAGAATCTCAATAAAATTCTATTGTGGAGAAGTGTGAAGTTCAGTCTAAAGCAGATTTGTCTTGGGCCTCTTGGATTGTGGCATAGTAGACTGATTGAGCACCAGCTTTACAGTCAGGAAGAATTGAGTTAAACTCCTGCCTCAGTCTCAAACTAGCTCTGGGACCCTTGAGCAAGTCTTCTAACCTCTCAGCCTCTGTAAAATTCATCTGTAAAATGGAGATAATAGCTTATACCTTGCAGCATTGTTATGAAGATTAAATGAGTTAACATATATGAAGCATTTAACAAACCTGAAAGTGCTATATAAACGCTAGCCATTTTCATCATCATCACCAATTATTATTATGTCTCAGCTATAAGATAGTGCCATAGCACAAGACCTTGAAGACATTATAGTGCAAGACTGTATATCTTATATTTTATTTGGATAGTTGATACAATTTCCTAATTCAATTTTGATTTAAATTCACCTGTAAATGATGTAATTTTTATTTAATATAAGCTAAGTTAATTATAATTCAAATGGTAATTAATTTGGATTTTATTAATTTGGAATTTGCTTGAGATAGATTGAACTGTAAACTTTTGTGTTCTCTATGAAGATAGTATTTTTCAAGCAAATTAATTGTGCAGTCTTATTTAGACCGTGGTAAGAAATGAAGAGGAAATAGGAGGTCTACTTAAGAGCGCAAACTTAAAAAAACAAAACAAAACACAAACCAATAACTTTAGCTCCTTAATTGTTTGGAATGTAAAAGGAGACTAATTCAAACACTCTTGTCTGTTTGTTAAAGCCAGACTTTGGGCGGGGGGGAAGTAGCAGTTAAGTAGTAGCCATGATGTATAGACATATGAGCTCAAAATTATATTCCATTGAAAATATGAGTGGTGGTATGAAATAATGGGGGGTTAGCTAGGTAATGAAGTGGATAGAATATCAGGCCTAGAGTCAGGAAATCCTGAATTTAAATTCAGCCTCAGACACTTACTAGCTGTGTGACCCTGGGCAAGTCACTTAATCCCATTTGCCTCAGTTTCTTTAGGTGTAAAATGAACTAGAAAAAGAAAGGCAAACCACACCAGTATCTTTGCCAAGAAACCCCAAAATAGGGTCATGAATAGTTAGACATGACTGAAACAACTGAACAATAATCTTAAATTTGAGAGAATTTTCTGTATTTTTCTTTCATTCTGTTTCAGAGATCAGCAGAGACTTAAAAATAACGTTTAGCTCCAATTCCACATAGGTTACAGTAATATATGATTTGTACTGCACTGCTTTTAGATTTGAGTTTGATTCAACTGTAGTATTATCCCCCCTGTGTTCAATCATCATTTCAACAACTTTGGGAGTATCTGTTTTTGGCTAATGTACTTTTCTTATTTGATATTTAGCCAAAGTTGAAAACTTCTTTTGGAAAGCAAAAGAAAGCCTTCTCATCATCTTGACAGGATGGGGAAAAAAGAAAAAAATACTTTTTCCATGACATAAGAAGTTGTCACTGTATAAATGTGAACTCAAGAAACTAGATTTTTAAATTTCCAGTCTATGGGAAGATATTGGCATAACTGGTACTCTTAACACGTGGCCCTGATCACTTTCAACAGACGTTTCTCTAAGTGGTAAAAAGGGCCGCCAGTGACTAGATCAGAGCATGTGCATCTTGGGAGGTGTGCACATGTTATTAAGAACTAGGTCAGAGGCACCAGTTGGTTTTTTCTACATTCATTTCATAGAAGCATCTGCCCCTAGAATTTTAATACAAGTGTTTGCCCACCTCCTTCATGTAGTGTTCCCCGAAGTGCTTTAAAGACATAAATTTCTTCTCTCTGCAATAGGTAAATGGTGTATTCTATATTATTCTTTTTGCAGAAGAAGAAATTACACTATATAGCAGCTAAGAGACTTGTCTAATGTGGTACCATGACTCATTAGTATAACTGATAGCAGGGCCCATAATTCCATTCAGTCTGTTATTTGCAATCATAGAATTATGGAATATTTCAGCAGTAAAAGACCTTGAAGATCATCTAATCCAACCACTTCCTGACTTTTCAGATGAAGAAATTAAGGATAGAGGAGATAAGTGAATAGAACAAACTCTTGGACGCCTGACCACCAACGCTATGCATTATCTTCCCCCCCCACATTTATATATTTTATTTTTAAGATATGGAATAAAACAAGCATTTCCATAGCATAGTATAATAAAAAATGATTGCATACAAAACTACAAATCTATTTTGTACAATTTTGCTATTCCTTTTAAATATATAATAAAGTTATTAAGTTTCTTTTTTTCTTTTTCTTACCTCCCCCCTTTGAATTGTCTACCATTAGACATAAATAGGTATATATATGTAAAATCATTCCATTCAAACTTCTATTTATTAGTTCTTTCTCTGTATGCAGATAGCATCTTTCCTCATATGTCCTTCATAGTTAATTTGCGTATTTACAATAGTCAAAATGACTTATTTGCTCAATGTCATTCTTAAAACAGTATTGCTGTTACTGTATACAATGTTCTCTTGGTTCTGCTCATTTTGCTTTTCATTATTTCATGCAAGTCTTTCCTTATGTTTCTAAGATCATTGAACTTATCATTTCTTATAGCACAGTAGTATTCCATAACAATCATGTATGGCAACTTGTTCAACCATTCCCCATTTGATGGGCATCCCTGCGATTTCCAGTTCTTGGCCACCACAAAGAGAGCTGCTATAAACATTTCAGAACATATTGATTCTTCTCCTTTTTCTGTAGTTATCTTTGAAAATAGACCTAGCAGTGGTATTGATGGGTCAAAGGGTATATATAGTTTAATAACTCTTTGGGCATAATTCCAGATTGCTCTCCTAAATGGTTAGATCAGTTGACAATTCCACCAACAATGACTTTGTGTCCCAGTTTTTCCACATTTTCTAATACATCATACTATTTGCTGCTGGTGATTCTGGAAAGCATTGAGTTAACAATCTCTAGGATCATTCAGTATAAAATTCATGATGAGAGGCAGTGTATGCTCTACTGAAAAGACTTACGGATTTTGTACTGGGTTCAAATCCTTCTCTGTCACTACCTATGTGACCTTGAACAAGTCACTTAAGTTATTTGGGCTTGAGTGTCCCCAGCTGTAAAATGAAGGGCTTGCAATAAAAGACCTCAAAGGTTTTTTCTGTCTCTAAAATTATAATCCTATATCATTATACAGTTATCATGTCTATACCCATGGCAATTTCATTATCTTTTTTTCTCATTTTAAAGGCAACTTATACCTAAAGGAGTACTTTGTTAGGTTTGAAAATATATTTTAAAATCTAGTAAAAATGGATGACCTTTTTCAATAGTGATTTCCACCAACCTCCAAGGGTTAGATAGTATGACTAGTGGAAATTTGCAATATGATTCTCTTTTATATTGCTAATACTTTTATTACCATCCTTCCTAGGTTCTTTGGTGCAGTATAAGTTGTAAATTTTTCCAGGTTTTCCCATTAAAATCATTATCATCACACTGTGCTTATGAGGGAGGTCATTATTAAATCTAGTTTTCCTCAGGGGTGGATAAAGAACTGCATTTTTTCCCAGGGCCTCACAGTAAGCCTGGGAGAACTACATATTAGTTTTATAAGCTTTCTCTTCCCCCCCACCCCCTGCCCAGCTCTAGAGTTCTGTGGAGCTGTTACATCCATGTGCAGGTGCCATTTTTTTTTGGAGGTGCAACTAACACTCAGGTTCTCCTCATCATTGGAGGTATGACAATGCATTGAAGATGTTTTTAAACCGAAAGCAAATCTCCATAGCACCAGCCTATGCCTGGGAAGCATACAGGACCAAAAGGCAGCCCCTGTGTGATAGAGTTAGTGCTATTGTGTCAGAAATTTATGGAAGCCCAAGTACTACTGGGAAATGAGCAATTTGTACTATCCTGTGAATTTTGCAGAAAGGACTTCCATCCTGATTGTGGCCCTTCATTTTTGCCATGCAGAGCGTGCACATTTCCTTGATGCCTCTAGACAGACTCAATCACCAAATCAATTTTTCATGGCTCAAAGGAAAAAACAACAACAACAACAACAACAACTGAGCATTGACTACGTCTTTATTTATTTCCTCCTCTTACAGAGTGCAAATTCACCTGCACCAGTGGTAAATGCTTGTATCTTGGCTCGCTGGTCTGTAACCAACAGAACGATTGTGGGGATAACAGTGATGAAGAGAACTGTCTGCTGGTAACCGAACATCCTCCTCCTGGCATCTTCAACTGTAAGCGCTTCTTTCTTTCTGAATTTGTTCGGCGCACGCGCGCCTGGGTGAGATTTATCTTGAGGGTGTTTGGAGGGACTGGAGGTAGCGATGAGCCAGCAAATCGAAGGAATGGTGCTTTAAGGTAGCAGGAAGAGATTTGTGTCTTCTGAGAGCAAGTGATTTCCTTGATTATGGTATTGAAAAGGTGGAATTCTGTTTTCAGAGTTGGTCAGTGGCACTGCGTCTTCTAACACACTTTCAGAATTTATCAGGGAAGCTGTTGGATAAATTTCATTTTAATTAATAATTCATCCAAAAGCAATTACTTGTAGATTTATTGTTTTCATGCCAGCTATACAAAAATTATAAGTAGCATTATTTATAAAGAATCTGTAAATAGTTAAAGCAAATAATAATGTTCTTAACATGCCATAAATTTCAGTGGATAAAATAGTATACTAGATAATTTTGAAAACTACACAAATCAGCAAACTTGTAAAAAGAGGCCTGATGAATAGTTATTTTTCTGTTTGTGAGACAGTGAGTGAGGCTTTCTTGGCTTGTGATTCTTTCTCCCTGTCTCATCCCATTGGGCCAGCGAGCATATTTTGAAGATGAAAACAGTGGTCACAGCCTAAGGTTCTTTGATTCCGTATGAAGAGAAGGAAGAAAGAGGACATTTTTGAAACATGGCTGAAAATCTCTAAGAATTTCAGAAAGAATGATTACATTGTTCTCTGTGTTTCCTTATTTCAAATGACATGGCCTTTGTTTGAAATACATGTCCTGAGAATACTGTATATATCACTAAGTCTTTTCACATGATTTTCATTTTGAAATAATTTCATGATACACTTAGGATTTCCCCTAATTTAAAATTCCTTATTGATATTATTTGGAGAAGTGACATTGGAGCTGAACATTCTTTGGTTTTGCTACTGCAATGATATATTAATGCTAATGATAAAAAAAAAAGAGACAAAAAAAGTTATTGTTTACTACACTGTAAATTTGTTTTGAGTTAAAAAAACTCAAAATTGTACACAGTTTAAAGAATTTATATATGATTCATGCACAAGAGCATTATTGTTGGGTTTATAGTCCCATGAGCTGCCAAATTTACTTATTACACGTATTTGTATTTTTTATATGGGGTTTTCTTAAAGTGGGACTCATCTCTGTCATTTGAAAAGTTTATTTGATGTTGGTTGTATGTTTTCTTTGTGTTCTGTCAGACTTTCATTTCTGATTGTTTTATTCTTTATGATAGACTTTTGTAATATAGTGAGGGTGAAACCAGTATGAAGTGTTTCCCAAGTGCTAAGCACTATATTAAGTGCTGAGGATACAAAATAAAAAAATAAAGACCTCTGCTCACCAGTAGCTCAAACTCTCTTAATCAGGGAAGGTAACACATAAAAGGATTCAGCTGCTGGGAGAACAGCAAGACTCAGAAACCTTCATGTTACAGTGACAGGGTGAATGGCAAGGCCAGCGTCTCTTAAGTTGCATCATGAAGCTTGATGATAACGCCCAGTGTTATTGAAGGCACAGAGGCAGGGTTGTGGGTGAGACCTGGAGAACATTAATACACAGTAGTTGGGTGTGTGATATGGTGAAAGAGCTTTCCCTATTCCTAAATGGATCGTGGAAGATCCATCCAATGTACTAGGAACCCACTCCTGCCTCTTCTGTATGATGGAGAGAATATTGGTGGTAGAGATGAACTTGTGTTACAGCACATGGCTGACGATCATTGAAAAATGCTGCCTCAGTTCAATCAAGTCTGGTATTCCCTCATTCAGTTTTGAGCCAAGCTCAGCATCTATTTGTCACACTTATAAATATAAATATATTTGTGGGTGTGTTTTAACATATACATAGAGAGAGATACCAGGCCTTGTGATTTCATTGGTGTGGGGAATTCACAGCTGAAGACACTCCCTCTGCACATGAAAGTCACAACCTTCTCTGCAACCTATAGGAGTTGATGAAAGCGTTGAGTGGTTCAGTAACTCATTCAGGGTCACACAGCCAGTTCTTGTGAGAGGTAAGATATGAATCCAGGTCTTCTTAGCTCTGCAGTAACTGCATGTTACTTTCTGAATAATTGCGTTTTTCATCCACTATCCATTTCTTTCGCAATTCCTATGGGTTTTACTGTGGAGACTTTGAAATGTTCAGAGGATCAATGTGATTCATACCAGGCATGGGTAGTATCATGCTTAAACTCCTTCTTAGTGGTGAGGAAGGAGAACATTATTATAACTAATCCAGAATAAGAAGCATACTGGCTACCTGTTATTTAAAATTATATTTTAAATACATTTTACTTTAGGTTAATATACAATTAATTAAAATTATAGCCGTTATCAAGCTATAATCTCTTTATTAATATTTATCCTTTTTTTTCTTGTATCAGTCTTCTTTCTCCATTCTTAGGCTACATCCATAGTCCATTTTCAAAAGTATAAAATTTAAATTTCATTTTAGCAAGTAAATGAGTGTGTTGTAGTCTTTAAATGAAAAGTGAATTTTTTCCCCTAGTAGTACAGACCTGATAGCCAAATTGCTTCAGTTGAGGAGTTTTATACAAAAATTTGGCATGTATAGACCTTGCTATTTCAGTGCTAACCAGAATTCCTTCTGTTCTAGGTCACTGTATTTCCTCAAGGCTAAAACATATAAGCTGTGTTGTGTGGCATTTCTAGCTCTTCACAGGGTGCCTTCAGCCTACCTTTCCAGTTTATTTCCTGTTCCTATCCTTTATGCGTTCTACATTCTAGTCAGACTGTCCCTGAACGTTCATTTCAATCCAGTGCCATTCTCCGAGCCTTTATTCGTGTGGTTCCCCCCTGTCTGAATGTGCTGCCCTCATCTGCACCACTTAGAATTCCTAACTCCCTTCAAGTTTCATTTCAGGTGTCTCCTCCTCGATACTCTGGCTATTAGTGTTCTTTCTACACTCCTGGAAATTAATTCTCTGTGTTTATCTGTATATATAGTCATGAAGTGGAATGAAGGCAAGGATTCCTTCAGTTTTGTCTTGGTATTCCTAGTACCTAGAATAGTAGTTGGCACTTTAATGATTACTTGCTGGATGTTTGTGAAACCAAGAGAAAACATTGATTGTGGCTTATTTTCTTCTAATAGACTGTGGAAAATGACCTCTAAAGGGCCTCTCAACTTAAGATTTGGGGATTTTAGGAAGACCACTTAAAACCAGCATCTTATCAGTAGCAATTTGTGATGTCCCAGTTTGAAACTTGGCTTGGTAGTTGAATTATTGTTTTGGAAACTGACTAAATTTTAGGACCTCTTTTAGTATAACAAGAATTTTCTAAAACAAACATATCTAAAAATGACTTGACCTGAAGAATGTTGATTATATTCTTCCTACTTTTTTCCTGGGTGTTCTGTTCCTCCCAGGGCCAATAACCAACAGAAACTGTTGGTCTGGTGAGTTCTGTGGTCCTTACCAATGCCTTGAGGAGCAAGGAAGAGGTTTCAGCTGAGATATTCTTGGACAGGCTATGGGGTGAGTGGAGAAGGAATGGTAATTTGAGCAATCTGAGGGGTCATTGGCCAGGGGTGTTGCTTAATCTTCCCAGGCCTCAGCTTCCTCATCCGTAAAAATGCAGGGCTTGGATTAGATGCCACTTGATATTTCTTTCTGCTCTAGATTTATGAGCCTGTGAACTAAAAAGCACATTGTCAATACCTCAAAGTTGGGACAGCTACGTGGCACAGTGGATAGAGCACCAGTCCTGAAGTCAGGAGGACCTGAGTTCAAATCCGGTCTCAGACACATAACACTTACTAGCTGTGTGGCCCTGGGCAAGTCACTTAACCCCATTGCCTAGCTGAAAAAGAAAAACAAAAACCTCAAAGTCAGTAGCTAGGATCGAAACTGAATGAATCAGAGGCAATAGCATTGTTCAAAAAAGAAGCTAGACTAAAAAACTAGGAGTGCCATCAAGGTCTGTGGGAGGCATGGTTGCGGGTTCAAGAGTCAAAGGCTAGGTTCTTCAGGCAACACAATATTTTGCTATATACGGAGAATTCAAATTTATTTCATATTGCATATATTGAGAATTAGAGTTTGTGACATTCACTGTTCTTTGGATTCATGTAAGATTAAGCCTGGCCAGGCCCCATAATCCAGCTCCCTCTGAATACCCTTCTGCTGGAGAGCTCTTGGTACTGATGCTACCACTCTCATTATTTTCCATAGCAACCATGGACTCCAGACAGGGGCAGAGTCTGTTATTTGAGGGTCACTTTAATTTCTGAATTTCTCATAACTGATTTGCCCTTTGAGCTATGAGACCCTTTGAAAGTGTCAGTCCTGCTTAGGTTAAGGATTTAGCCTGCCTGCAACTGTGTCTGCTTGTTGATAAATAGATGGATCAGTCATTTCAGTTTTGTAGAAATGTGCATGGCCAAGAACTGAAAATTAAACTTTGGCATTGATTTAACATGAGATGAATATTTTGTTCCATCCCCTCACTTCTCTGCTCTCTCCCCGTGAACTCCACCAGGTAAGGTTACAGAACAAAGCGAGATTCATTTAACAAGCTGTGTCTGTGTCATAAGCCTTATGCATTTGTAGCAAACATGCCTGCTTTAATAAAATAACATGACATATTGAATGAATGTACAAACTCATTTGGGGTAACAGATGGACAGTATGCATTTCATGTTGGATTAGTTATAATAACAATATTCTCCTTTCTCCTCACTAAGTTTATTATTTTATTTTTTCTCAATTGCACGTAAAAACAATTTTTAGAGTTCATTTAAAAATTTTTTTGAGTTCCAAATTCTCTCTCTCCCTTCCATCCTCCCTCCACTACTTTCTCCTTGAGAAGGGAAGCAGTTTGCTATAGATTATACTTGTGCAGTCATGCAAAACATATTTCCATATTAGCCATATTGCAAAAGAAAACAGACCCCAAAAAAACCCCCAAGAAAAATAAAGTGAAACAAAAAGTATGCTTTGATCTTCATTCAGACTC